ATATATATATATATATATATATATATATATATATATATATATATATATATATATATATATCACTGTTTTTGTATGACAACCCAGTGACAAGGATGCATGCACTGCCAGCACAACGTTATGACATCACCCGTGCCGTCGAGTTTAGATTTGTGAAAAATTACAAATTTGCACTGTTCAAGTGTTGTTATTGTGTTAGGGAGAGTAAATGCCATGAAAAAAATTTGACATTAAACATAATCCAAGTTGAAGCGTTACATTATTTTCAGCCCCCTTTTTGGCATCTGAATTTGTAACAGGCCACATAGACAAAGACCATGCAGAATAATGTATTATTTTAATTCCACAGCAGAGAAAGTTATGTAGTCTCTGTAAATAAGTCTAGGAATAAACATCGGTATGGGTATTGGTTATCGGCTAAATAAGTTTTAACATATCGGCATATTGGATATCAGCCAAAAATCCAATATCGTTCATCTCTACCTATTATTGTTAACTGTTTTCAATCAAACACTGTGATGGACTTGCGACCTGACCAGGGTGTACCCCGCCCCTCGCACAGTGACTGCTGGACATGGGCACCGGCGACCCCCGTGGCCCAAAATGGAAGAAGTGGGTAAAAAGATAATGGATGGAAATGGATAATGGATGAACGTTCTTCAAACAAACACTACTCCTTGTTAATGTGACCAACATGGCTTATTGTCTGGTACGTGCTGGGAATACTCACAGATACCAGTACATCAAATTTTAGCTTTATGTTGTGTAAAATTAACGGAATTATAGCCATAGGTGGCTAATGTTGATCAGCTGTGGCAACGGTCGTGCACTGGATAGTTATAGAAAGTTAATCAGTTGCAGATATGACATGTACAGGCCTAATTATTTTCTTAAATATTAGTAAAGTCCATCCATAAAGTTTTAAACAAAGATTTTTTTCTTAAAAAAGTAGCAACTGAAGTACGTGTTGTGAATGACTCTTAGCCAGCACGGCATCAAATTTGAACTCATTAGCTGTACAATTATCTTAAATACTGACATCTTTGTGTTTTCTTACTGCAGTTTGCCAAGTAGAAATCTTGAGTTAGGTTGGTTCCAAAAAATTGTAGTTTTTTGAAAGTTTTATTAACATATGCATGGTGGTTTATGATTTTTTTTTTTTTACTAAGACAGGCACACACACATACACTGGCAAAAACACCATAACTCATTTTCACCTTTCAGCCACATGATAATCAGATGCAGTTATTTAAAATCTTCCATCTGATAGACTGTAATTGTATGCAGCTCTGAAGTTAAATGTCTGTCAGGTGAATCAATGTACCTAATCAGGTACAAACCTATTCACAGAAGCTTAACTTGCATATTTAATATTTTAGGCAAAAAGGAACCTTTGAAGCTAAAATATATATAATATTTATAACACAATGTAATGTTTGGTAAAATATTAGGACTTGGCAACTTAATTACTGCTTAAAACATGTAAGTATAGTTTAAAAACTGTAGCGTCTTACTAAAGTGGAAAGTGGTATAACAAAGTCAGTACTTTTATTCTACAGTGCTTTCTTCTCATGACATTTCTCTTATTTTCTAGTTTACTTTTACCACAACTCAGAGACTCAGAGGGAGATATCTTAATGACAGCTTATTTTTGTAAAACGTATTAAAGAATTTCAAATAATTTGTGAATGATTAAAGTATGATGTTAGTATAACAACTGTAATATAAGCAAAACTTACTTTATGACAATTTACAAATTGTCTATCTATCTATCTATCTATCTATCTATCTATCTATCTATCTATCT